TCTACGAGTAGTCAGCATATATATTTATATTATATATATTATACTATAATATCATATATTATTATGTTGTTATATTAGTATAATATATAGCCTGCTCTAGAGCAACAGCTGTGAGGACAGCATCAGGCGTTTCCTGACAGAACCCGTTTTGTAAACCTCCATTATTTGTTGGGTGGATTAATATGTTCTCACGCATTAATCACTTCACTTCAAGATTACAGCAGATAACACCAGAAAGTACTCGACTTGAAAAATTGTTAGGTAATCCGAGAAAGTATTGCTACTGCCGACCGGAAAAGTAAGCTAAGGTTCGCATCAATCAACAGAACGTTATTGTTTGGCCTTAAGAAGTATGGAGAATATTTTTGAAAGCTCGGGATAGTGTTGGTGCGATCTAACTTTTATAATACAGACCTGCAGTATGACGACGTGAACTATCTTTATTGATATTTCTGGTTATCTTCTGTCCAGACAATAAAAACTAATGCATGAGGGGTTTTAACCTAAAAATATTGTAAAGTGGAACCGTACCCTTATCACACTTATTGCATACTTTAGAAGATATCTCAATGTATGCTTATCTATTTTGGTAATCATACTGATAAGTAAACTGTAAAATGGAATCACATTCTCCGACTTGTGCACGAAAACAATTTTCCATTCTCGCTAAGGATTACCGGAGTCGTCCAAATTTATTCCATCACTAAAACTGGCTGGATAGGTAACAAATAAAACCGTCCTTCTAAAGCCATATAGAGTAGGTCTGTTTCCATGGCCTTCTGAAGAAATATCGTCAGGTTGGACGGCACGATCGACCTATAGAACCAATCACCATAAGAGTGATGTAACTGATATATATATTTATATATGATTTGATATAATTAATCCAGTACAATCCGTAATGCTGTGAAGACAAACTATGAAAAACTATCAGCGGTTTTGATAGGTGGCTATTTAATGGAGGTACAAATTCACAGGTAATACATATTACTTGGAGGTGCGAGCCACTGCAGTCCAAAATGAGCTGAGAGATCAACGGAAGCAGATTGTTTCCAAAACGTGTGGGTTCCCAGGAAATAGGAATGAAAACGTTCTAAATGGCCTAAGGATCAGAATAGGCGTATCCCAGTTGATGTTGAGAAAGTTTGTCAAGTGTCTGAGTATTTGGATCAATGCGGCTCGTCATGTGACCTTGTTCGTCTGAAAAGCCTATGAGTCGGAAGTGGTTCAACACAAATATTTCACTTTGAGGCATTACTGCCCAAATTGACTGTCTGATGGATTTTCGTGAGCGGAGCTACTGTCGACACAGATCTAACTTCCTGATGTTGTGAGGTCGCAGTATTTGCGAAGGCGGGGTGTATATTCTCCGGGTTATATTTACTTTCAAAAAATATCCTGTCAGCTGAAAGTCTAAAGTAAAATCTGGTAGATCATCCAATCGGAAACTCCATTGTTAATATCCGGAAGATGGTAACGGTCTCCTCAGGTTCACGAAAAAGTGAATGACTTTTAGTACAACCGAACACCAAATGATCGTAACCTCGACCAAAAGGTTATGCTCACAGCGCTCAGCTTCAAAACGAACACAATAAATAAGCAAGTCGATGTTATACGCTTCCATGACACTAAAAGGTGCACAAATTTCCATTGGTCAAAAAGGGAAATTTGAAGGCAGTAAAAGCGCTTGAAACTGGATTGTCTTAGAAATGCACAATGAAGTTACGTTGCTGGGTTTCTTCCAATTGCAGGCATTTTAATGTGCCATCATGTTTTATCCTCTAAGTTATGGATGGAGTATAACCAGCATCAATCAAAGTGTCTCCCATTTTAGTCATTTCGCAGCATGTGCAAAGGGGTAACACTCCTGTGATAGACTTAAACCTAATCTCGGATTAGCGCCGACTCACCGTGTGGAATGATAATAATAATAATAACAATAATAATAATAAGTATAGTGTTGATGACCATTAGCTCATTACAATCTCAGTCCAACGTTAAATCGACTGTCGGCTTTTTTGTTCACCAACCGATGATCATCTCTTATCGAGGCATCTGCTTTCCTCAATCCGCTAAACCTGTTTTTGGACTGGGACTTCCTAAGGTCACCGTCAGTGACTTGTGTCAGCTTACGATTGTGAGTTCTTTGTGTACCTATGACATTTTTATGCGTGGTACGTGGCGATGAGTATACATCCTTGCCATTGAACCTCACACCGAACCCAGAATGACGGACACTTTCTGCCTGGGGTGCGAGTCTTGGCTGTGTTAGCGCTCACCGCGCCTTGAAGAGCATTCAACATTATTAATCGTTTCTTCGGCTGTTGATTTTAACACGCGTCTTTCTATACCAAATATCCTTACACACGCTGGGAATCATTTTGTCTTCGAGTTTTTCGATCGTGGTTGCTTACCATATGTGTAACACAACTGATAGTTTATGAGCTAGGTGTGAAAACAAAACACTGGCTAAACCCAGAGTTGCCGTTATTCCAATTGTACTGAGACAGTAAGAGAACACAAAGTTAACTCATATAAACGAGTGGAATAATAAGTCCAGATGGTCCGAAACCTAACAGTTACCAAGAATCTTGCTGGGAATTCTTTCTTCGTTTAATTAACAATAGAAGATTCTGCAGTGGAAGAAGGCAAACCACGATCATTCGTGCATTTCACCATTTCCTCAATCCGTGTGATAGAGAAATTCAACCATAGAAGTCCTCATACAGGGCATAAAGCTGGGAGTCAAGAGAACAAGTGTGCCAAACCTACTGGCGATAACTGTCGAGGCAACGCCGGAATCTGAGCTGAACGATAAACCAGAGTAGACCTATACGGTGTTCTTTTTTCAAGCAGATTCACCTTTCGTTTGGCGCGGAATCACAATCGTAGGTTGCGAATTTTCAGTTAGTGAAGAAGAGGTTTATTAGTAAGGTTTCACGTCGTTTGTGTCAAATACGCTAGCATTAGGTTGTACTGCGAAAAAAACAAAAGTAACGTTAATCATAAGGAGAAAGGGGCTAATTTTCCACATTGGGTCTGTCCTAAAGAAGGTGACAGATTAGTACCAAGGGATTGTGTGCTATTCACTGAGACTAAGGTGCATCTGGAAGTGCGATCACTGCTTAAAGTTTTGATGGAATGTTATCATATGGATTAAACAATGAACGTTATGGTACGTAAAGGTTAGACAGGCAAATTCGGTGTCGCGGTTACATTGTCTGCGACCCATCTTGTGCACAACGTGAGGTCAAACCACTTTGAAAAACCGGGACACATGATACCCACGCGAAGTCAACAAATGCGACTGATTTCACCACAGTGCCCATCATCTTACATGAAGTTCACACTCGGTTAGGATAAAATTCGGATTTATTTTGTCTTCGTTATAAAACTCAATAAATCCAGCTTGGCAGCATAAATGACGTCGGCGAGTGCGTAGCGAGAATAACCGGAGAATCACAGACAAATAATTAGGTAAAGGCAGGAACCGTATCAGATAGATCCTTCACTTTAGAGCACATTGACACAAGATTCCATATTATTTTGAAAGTTTAACAGTTGAAGGTAGACTACACTGAGAGAAGACCATAGTTCTTGTTTTCCCTGGAAGACTTCATGAAGACGGTTGTCGTGCGTGCTTAGAATCGAGGAGCACTGCTTCACAAGACTGGTTTTACTGTTTTTATGGGGGTTATAAAACTTACAAGCTTGTTGAGATGGTTGCAATCTCCGGGGCTTTCTTTACCTACTGTAGGGCAGATGGTTACGGCCACCATGTGCAGGACGTTGGTGCTGAATTCGATCGTCTTAACAAGGCTTTCATTTATATTTTCGATACCCATTTCTTAAATGCCATTATCATCTGTGTCTCCGTGCTAGTTTCTGGCAAAGAATGTAAGTGCTTGGTTATTGTTGATGGTGATTGTGTATCTAGGAACAGCTGATCAAGTTTGTTGAATTCTATGAAGCCGTGACGAAACTTTGAATTCCCTGAGATTTCACCCTACGGTACAGCGGAAGCACATCGTTAAACAAAGTTTAAGGCGGTTAAATCTGGAAGTATCCAGACCTACCCAACCAGTTGTGTAGACTGATTGTTTAGTAAGCTCATAGCCTGTCCTGTTTGTCCAGAAGCAAGAGCCCACTCCTAACGGAGATAAAGGTTGTTTGGCCGAAAAGGCTCTGTCTTTTGGGATAAATGTAAACATTGAATGATCTCTTATCATCACTTAAATAAGTGACTCACTTTAGAATCAGCTCCATTGTATCCTTTCTGTGGTCTGCTTGAAACGGTAACGTCCCGGTCAGTAGCTCGTACATAAGTACTCCAAAACTCCACCAGTCTGCAGCTGTCCCGTGTCCATGACGATTGACAACCTCTGGAGCCATGTATTCAACAGTTCCACAGAATGAATAAGTTCGCCCATCGGATGCTTCAGAAATCGCTTCTTTGGAAAGACCAAAGTCAGTCAACCGAATATGACCATCCTGATGGAGGAGAATGCTGACGAGGAAAAGCGAAAAATAAAAGTTACATAGCAGCACTCATTTTCAGATGAAAGGCATTCTCCTAATTCAAGCTGGTGTGAACTAATTTTGTTACCAACAAACCAGTTGACTTGTTGAGCCTATAGAGTGGGTCGTTACTATAGAACTTTCGTTGATGTATTATCTAAAGTACCCACGGAAACTGTCCTACTATGCTTTTCGAGAATATTGCAGAGACAGTGAAGTTTTGGCCGCTGGAACAAATGCTTCCCTGGTTATCCAAATTTATATCACTCGGTTTTTAGTTCGTGACTTACAATTGCCGGTTTTGTACCATCCCTGATTTTCGCTTACCGTTAATGTTGTTTGCTTATTATTCACTTGTCTTTGTAAATTCTGACTTGTCGTTCCCAACAGAAGCAGCAGTGCAGTCGCCGCACCTAGTTTTGTATATAAAGTCTCTCTGAGTGTGAGGATTTCCCTATATAGAAGACTACTTTCATGTTGGCCAGGTTTTAAACCTTCCAGAATGTCCGTGTTGAAGGCTGTTCCCTCCTTTTTCTTGATAATAGGAGTGTTGATTCCAGCTAAGTTTGCACGTGAGTATATTTCGCCAAATATGCTAAGGTGTGATTTGGTAATTTCGACCACGTTTCCTTTCGGATGGGGTTAGCTACGCTCTAAATGGTCGGACTATAACGGGAACAGAATCTTGCCTTCGGGCAATTTGTTGAGCGAGAAAGGACACTTGGATAACCTAGAAATGCTTATCGTGTGACTATCTGTCTAGTATCCAATTTCTTTGCTCAATTTTTCACTCCAAGGTGACACGTAATAATTATCATTGCATAAATTAAATTCCCAATTGCGTCAGTGACCATTCCACTGCGAACCGCAAGCATTATTCTAGATGACGTAATGCTATGTACAAAGAACAAAGTTTCCAAACATGTTGATATCAAATGGAACTGTTTTGTTTTGAGTTGCCTTCCACCATTAAATTAATTGAGCACTCAGAAGAAAAAAATCAATACTCCTGTCAGGTGTTGGTGTTTGGTTTTGTAGTTTTTGCGTTGAGTTGCATGGTGGACAGCTAGTGAACGTGATGCGCTCACCAAACAGGGACTATGTTAGCACGTCTACCAACCACAGTGAATGTTGAAAAGTTTGGGATAAGCTGCTGTGAGCTACTCACTAATTACTGGTAGGATTCTGATGGTCACGCTCTTGATAAATTTACACGTCAGCTGACATCTCATATTGAAGACTACTCAGGCATGTTGGATAGAATTGAGGGAATGACATTTGCTAGCGACATATTGCAATATTTAAACCTGATCGTGAGTGATCTCTAAACGCTGGATATTTGACAGAAATTTTACCCGGTAAACTTGTTTAACGCTTCTTCATGTGGTTGCGTATTTATACGTTCGCCTTTGTAGCACCCATGCAACAGAAGTGAAGTGCTACAGCAGTCACAAGATTCTCGAGTTGTAACAACCGCCGACAAAAAGTCACTTGGGTAATTTTAGACTGGACTGGATGAAGCACACGAATAAAGAGAACAAAACGTTTTCACAGCAGAGTAAAGTATACATTTTCAACAAACCAATAGGAATGTACAACGGACAAAACGAGACAATATCCATAACGAAGAAATTCTATGACACAACACAGCAGGATTCTCAGAGAAAACAATCAAAATAAAGTATGCAAACTGCGGAGGGTGGCGGCTTCCAGCAGAAAATGAAACTGAAGTTTTCTTTATCCACTCCAGTCAGACCAAATAAAACAGTTACCACAGGAAAGAAAACCTTTTCCGCAACAGACTCCCTGTATCTCTTTGAATAGTGACGAAACAAATGCAAAACGTCTGCCAGGCTCGCCAAATAAAAAAACAACTGATAACTTTTCCGCCATTCTCTTTGCATTCTCAAAGATAATTTTCCGTCTCCCAGTCAGAAAATTCTTTGTGCTGGAAATTGAGCCATAATGTTTACAACATTTTACCTGACGTCGCCTTGATCTTAAATAGTTTGAATTTTCTACCGCATTTTTATCTTGTGTCCGGTACTCTGTACTCCCGATATCGTTTGACCAGTGTATTCAACCTAAAAGTTAATGCCAGCTAAGTTCTTTCAAATGACTGCTCACTGTGAGTATCCATCGTTTATAAACCACCAAGATTCACACCAAGCTGTTCAGGTTCAATTTTGAGTCCAGTTTTATTCAAAAATACAAAAGTCCCCGACAAATGAAAGATCGTTAAAAAAAACCTCTGCAATACTGCACTCATTTGGTTGAAAACGCCTGTGAGCATCCAATCAAATTATTGCGATGAAGTCTTTGTTGGATGTAACGCATATAAATAGAACATCTTCGTTTTAAAAATATGAAGATACTGACACTAAACCTCTTTTACCACACTCCCACAAAAACATTGAATCGTGCTAAGCAAAGAAAAGAACTGATTTTATGAAACAAAAGGCCTAGGCGTTTTAAAAATATGAAGATACTGACACTAGACCTCTTTTACCACACTCCCACAAAAAAAATGAATCGTGCTAAGCAAAGAAAAGAAATGATTTTATGAAACAAAAGGCTTAGAAAGGCAAAGGTTGTCTGTTTTCCGGTATATAGCTGTATTTTTCATAGTAACCAGAGCCAAATGAGCAAATTCCGATGGCGGCGTGGCAAGACGTCGGAACAAAGGCATAAAATACTGAACAATATTTTTTATACAGCTATAAGGTCTTAACTAGTGGGGTAAGACATAAATGCATGCATTTACTATCTTTCAGTAGTTAAAACCTCAGATGCGGTAAGCAGGATTGTCTGCAACCTTGTTCCTAAACCACGTTCTTTCCCTATTTGATGACATCTAAAAGGCATTCTGGGGAAGAAAATTGAGAAAACTTNTTAAAACCTCAGATGCGGTAAGCAGGATTGTCTGCAACCTTGTTCCTAAACCACGTTCGTTCCCTATTTGATGACATCTAAAAGGCATTCTGGGGAATAAAATTGAGAAAACTTCAACGCCAGAAATGGAACTGGAAAAATGCGTATCAACGATCATAATTAAAAATGACCTGATTCGCCAGAAAACAATCCAGACAAACAGTCAGGTGAAAGAAAGGTATACCAGAAATGACGTACACAGGAGAGTCTTACGTGGAAGTTCATACAAATCCCCTCACCGGAGATGTTTCAAGATGCTTCAAGCACATCACTAGCTCCGCGTAAATCACCGGTACGAAGATATCCGCTTGGAGCAAAGGCTCATTTCTATGACATAGATGACCGTAACCTTACGAACTAGAACGCATAAGCAATGAATTATAAACCTTCGGTAAATATCCAGCTTTTGCGGATGTCTGCATCGAACAAAAGATCTACATGTATTTCTGCATGAATATTACAATCCAGCCACGAAAAGAACTGTCTCTCACTCATTATATTATATTTTATGCCCACATTCGAATGCTTCTTCGTATTTTTAACAAAGTTGCCGTACTTAAGTGGCTGTGTAAAATCTGGCCTAATGACTTTCGAGGATTTAAGCTCAGAAAACGATTGAGGGTTTGCACATTTAAACTAATATATATACTAAATTAGAGAATCTAGTATCCGGGGATTGGGTGATTTGACCTGACACACACTGAGAACCTGAAACATGGCATGGATAAGCGTTCTGTGAAGTATAAGGGTGAAATTTAGTACATGTTAATAAAATTTTGAGTGGCTAATTTTTTACTGTAAAGTGAAGAGATTTAGATATTTTCATTTGAAGTTTCATTTGTCAATGAGGCCGATCTGTGTCAAGAGGCCGAAAAGCACTGAACAGCTGTGTCTGCCTTATTGAACGTCATCAGGTGTGCGTATCTCACGAAACTCACAGAGTTTTGAACCCGCGATATTCCGGTCTGCATCGAACGGCTGAACACCAGTATGATTAGCTTTCATTTAGACAGAATAGAGCGCCGCCCATACTTCATTCACGTAGACGACGCACTGACTGGCTCCTCGAGTGAAATTTCTCGGACGGAAGTTTCACTGTTCACGTGAACCTCTTTTTCATCCGAGCCACTTTTAATCTTCAGCCACTATTTGGAAGGTAGAGGCTTCAAAAACTTCCGAGAAGCTCCCCGCTGATGAGTCCTGGTAAGCATAAAAACAGCCGCACTGTGCTTCTAGGTTTTTCAGCATGAATTGGCCAGTTTAACAGCACAAAATCCAAAATGAATATACCTTTTTGACGGAAGATTCTTTCCCTGTTTGCTTCGGGGAGGAATTGGTCACTGTTTCGGAGTGAAAGTGTTTCGTTTGCATGAGTTCCTACATCACACGTTTTTACGCGAACACCAAATTGATTTCGGCCGATATGTAGCTAAATTCATCGAACAATCGAGTGATCTTCCGGGTGTTGGAAGGATTGTACCTACGAATCTGCCATGATACATTCTACACTTTGAGATCAGATCACACGGAACAATCATGAATAAAATGTTACAACGGTGCATGATGGGAACTTTTCTGTGTTCGTTCGAATGGGGACATAAAAACCATGAAAGTCCCACAGAGTGATACTTTTTGGTATTCTATCACTGTACACCACGACTGAAATGAGTTATTTGTAGTACAAGAAGACTAGAAAAGGTTAGGCTAACCCACGACTCTGTGCTTGCAAACAGTGGTTCAAACCATTTTTTGTACCCAAAACTCCTGTTTACATCATTTCACAACAGTGAAAAGCTTTCAAGGGAGACTTTGGGATTTCGCTCAGCTGGACAAAATATTCCAACCGTTACCTGTCAAACTGTTCTCGCTACAAACCGACAAACAAAGAAAATCGTTCAGATCTGAAACACGCAACTGTTCTGACGGAAATGAGTATCAAAGTGATACAAATTGGAAGCCGTTGTAAACTTTTTTTCACTTTTTCGGAAGTCGGAATGTATGAGCTGCCCTCCGACTGTGAGATGCCGAAGCTAGTTAGTTTGTAACCCCGTTTATGCT